TAAACTCATGCCAAGTGCATGTGTGTGCGTGCCCAAGATCCCGAGAGGAGAATGGAGGAGAAGGGATTGCGGCGTGGCTATCTCCCCCGGAGGGTGATTTCTCGCTTTCTGTCTCTCTATCTCTCTGGCCAGGGCGTGTGCCCTAGAGCAAAAATCTCTCTAAAAAATTTTTTAAAAAATCACCAACGGATGGCCTGGTTTCTGGTGGAGCGAAGCGGTTGGGTAAGAGCTGATCTTCCTCTGGAGCTCCGTTTCAGAGGAAAGGAAGGAATGAGCCACGCACAGGGCCAGACGGTGGTGCAGCAGTGAAACGCGACACTCTGCAAGGCTGACCCACGGGGAAAGGTTCCGAGTTCAGGTCCGGAGACCTCTGAGTATGCCAGGTGGGCCTGCTCTTCATCTGGGCTGGGAGGGGCTGGGAGAGGATCACAGCGTTACCCCCCTGTTGTGGGTGCTGTCTCTGTCTCTGCCTTCTGTTGTTTTCGAGAGAGATTTTTACTATAGGATGCAGGCGTTTGCCAGAGAGACAAGAGAGATGGAAAGTGAGAAATCACACCCACCCCCCCCCACCGGGGGTGATGGCCACACCACAATCCCTTCTCCTCCATTCTCCTCTCAGGATCTTGGGCACACACATACACGCACCTGCAGTGAGTTTCAAGCTGCCGGGTCCTAGACTAGAACCACAGGCAATCATGTAGGAATCTAGTATGTTAGCTACTATGCCACCTGCTGGCCCCATAAATAAGTTTTTTTTTTTTTTTTTTTTTTTTTTTTTTTAAATTATAAAATACTAGACTTTGTGCAGTAGTAATGTTACTACTTAAGCAATGCCAGAGCCACATGGAAGAGGTAAAGTTTAGTTTTCCAGTTCAACTTGCACCTGCTGGGAAGACTGAGAGGGAACTGCAGTGCGAGACTCTGGTAAGGAGGCTTGGTCCCCTCTTTCTCTCTCACCTCATGAAAAAAAATCAACTTTAACAAACTTTTTAAAAAACATATAAACCAGGGGCTAGCAGGTGGCGTAATCGCTGTGTCGCTGGACTCCCATGTAGTCGATCACGGTTTGAGTCCCAGACCCGGTGGCTTAAAGTCACGCCAGGCGCATGTGCGTGTGTGCCCAAGATCCCGAGAGGAGAATGGAGGAGAAGGGATTGCGGCATGGCCATCCCCCCCGGGGGGTGATTTCTCGCTTTCTGTCTCTTTGTCTTTCTGGCGAGCGCACGCACGCTATAGCAAAAACCTCTCAGAAAAAAAACAGCGAGAGTAAACAAAACAAAGACAAGGATTCCAAGAAACATTAGCTCTAACTGAGGGGCATAGGCAAGGGACATCCATGGTGACAGTGGACAGCAGTCCTAGAGAGCTCAGGTCCAGGTTGGGATCGGCAGACAGACCCCAAGCTCTCCAGGACAAAAGAGGTTCAAGGAATATCTGCCGGAAGGAGAAATGAGGAGATGGGGAATTGATGTGATAAAGGAGGTAATTAAAAACTCCAGGAAAGGGGCCAGCATATGCTATAGCGGTTATGTTGCTGGACTCTCACAAGGCCGACCAGGCTTCGAGTTCCAGACCTAGTGGCTTGAAACTTACACCAGGCACATGTGGATGTGAGCCCAAGATCCCGGGAAGAAATGGAGGAGGAGGGATTGTGGTGTGGCCATCTCTGCTAGGGGATGATTTCTTACTTTCCCTCTCACTGTCTCTGTTTCTCTCTTCTCTTTCTCTGGTGAGTCCATGTGCCCTAAGGCAAAAACCTCTATGAAAATAAAACTCCAGGAAAAACAAAGGGCTATGCCATACAGTGATGTGTAAATGAACATTCTAGTAGTGCAATAAAGCAACATGATTTATAGATTTTCATCTTTTAAAACCAACCTATAGCCTGAAATGACATGACTTACATCTTTCACTCCAACCTCAGATGAAGTGTTTTCTCTCCCGAATATGTCGATTCCTAAAGCATAGATTTCGGTAACTGGGAGTTACGGGGAAAGGGGAGCAGAACAAAGGAGGGATGTTAACATCCTTTTCTTACAAAGTAGGGGGACGAGCCTCTGCTGATAGAAGAAGATACAAGTCTATTAAAGCTACAGAGGAGCTAAAAACAGTGGCCTATCTGTACTGACAGGAAGGAAGGGTGACAAGAGGGGGACAGATGCTCCTTCGCTACAGCAGGAAGTCAGCAGATAACACTGACCACGAATCCATCAATGCTAGGACGAGGGCCGTGGCAGCAGGAGGACAGTTTTTGGATTTGTTTTCCTGGTTTTTGAGATGAACACAGAGCAACTAGATTATAAAGCCAAAAACCTAGGTTCCGCATTTGCCACAAAACAAGGAAACGCCACAGACCCCAAACATGAACAAGAGTGTTACCAATGGCCCATAAGACCGACGTGTCGTCAGCATCAGTGGAAAGAAAGCAGAGCGGCAGCAAGGCCTAAGAACAATGGGAGCTCCAGGCAACTGGAAACCACGTTCAAAACCCAGAGGAACTTTGCCCCTTCCGTGAGAGCAATAGGCCAAGGTGAAGTGTTCGGGGCCAGGGTGGACTCATCCCTAGGAAACCTACGTGACCCACCAGAGCTGCTTTTCACAGGAGGCACCTCACAGAGGAGCCACTTCCAAGAATGGATTAAAATTGAGGGGACCAGCAGTTAGCATAATGGCTATGTCTCTGAACTCCCATGTAGCCGACTGCGGTTCAGGTCCCGGACCCGGTGGCTTAAACTCACACCGGGCGCGTGTGTGTGCGTGCCCAAGATCCCGAAAGGAGAATGGAGGAAAGTGATTGCAGCATGGCCACCCCCACTGGGGGGTGATTTCTCACTTTCCGTATCTCTGTCTGTCTCTGTCTTTCTGGCGAACGCACGTGCCCTATGGCAAAAACCTCTCCAAAAAAAAAAAAAAATAAAAAATTGAGCAGGATAGGGACCACAGAGCCAAGGAAAGAGAGAGGACAAATCAAAACGAACCGGGAATGTACAGAAGGTTCAAGCCAAAGAATTTGGGCAAGAAAACAAAATGAAAAAAGAGATCCGGATTGGAAAGGAGGAAGTAAAACTACCTCTGTTCTCAGAGAAGATCTTATATGGTTTGAATGTCCTCTCCCAGATTTCTGTTGAGATTTAACTGCCCGGTGTAACAGGGCTGGGGGAGGTGATCAGACCACCTTAAGAGGTGATTAGGGGGACTGGCAGATGGCATAATGGTTACATCGCTGGGCGGTGACCGCGATTTCTCTGTCTCTGCCGCGAGCGCACATACCCTATAGCAAAAATCTCTCTAAATAAATAAATAAGAGGCGATCGGGTCACGAGAGCTCTGCCCTCACGAACACATTAATGCCATCATAGACGAAATGGTTTAATGCTATCAGCTCAGCCTCCCTGTCCTCTGTCTCAGGCTCACTTGCTCTTTTGCCAGGGGGTGACAAAGCCTACAGGTCCCTGAGAGCTGCTGGCACCGTGCTCCTTGGATTTCCTTCGGGACCAGGAGACAAATCAACTTCTATGGTTGATAAGTTACCCAGGTGGTGGTATTCTGTTACAGCAGCAGCAATGGACGGATACTTGCATATAGAAAAACTGCAAAGGCTAGCCCCTTAGCATGGTGGGTGAGCGCTGTGTATAGGGAGCTGGATTCCACAGGGCTGACCACACTTTGAATCCTGACCCCGGCAGTTCGAAATACATGCTGGGCACATGTGTATGCATGCCCCAAATCCTGATGAAATGAAGAAACGGAGGAGAAAGGATTGCATGCCTGAGTCCCACTTGAGGGGAGGTATGCTCCTTCTCTCTCTGTCAAGCACTCTAGTAATACAAATCTTCAGGACCAGCAGTTAGCATAATGGCTATGTCACTAGACTCCCACGTAGTCAACCGCGGTTCGAGTCCCAGACCCGGTGGCTTAAAACTCACACCGGGCGCGTGTGCGTGCGTGCCCAAGATCCCGAGAGGAGAATGGAGGAGAAGAGATTGTGGCGTGGCCATCCCCCTTGGGAGGTAATTTCTCACTGTCTCTCTGTCTCTGTCTGTCTGGCAAGCACACGCACCCTATAGCTATATAGCTAAAACCTCTCCAAAAAAAAAGTCATGATGTATTTTTCTATGCAAAAATGCATCATGACTTTCCCGATGACTCTACATGTGTATCATATACATAAATACATATATATGCATGTGCATCTGTATACACACATGTATGTCTACATACATATATACACACACACAGTGAAAAGATAGAAACCCATAAGTCCTTTAACTGATAAATGGATAAATAAAGTGTGGTATATTCACCCAAAGGAAAATAAAAAGTTCGTGAAAAAAATGGAATGAAGGGATCAGCAGTTAGTGTAATGGCTATGTCACTGGACTCCCATGTAGTAGACCGTGGTTTGAGTCCCGGACCCGGTGGCTTAAACTCACACCAGGTGCGTGTGCGTGTGTGCCCAAGATCCAGACAGGAGAATGGAGAAGGGATTGTGGCGTGGCCATCCCCCCTGGGGGTTGATTTCTCGCTTTCTGTCTCTCTGTCTCTGTCTGTCTGGCAAGCGCACGCGCCCTATAGCAAAAACCTCTCCAAAAGAAAGGAATGAAAGTATGAATTTGTTTTGGTGCAAGAAAAAGGTATGAATTCCTGACATGCGCCACGTCTTGGGTGATGCTTCAAACATGCCAAGTGCAAGAAACCAGTCGTAAGGAACCACAGACTGTGTGGGTCCGTTTGTATGAAATGCTCAAAGCCACAGACCCAGAGAGACAGGAAGTAGACAGGTGGTTACCGGAAGCTAAGAGGGTGGTGGATTTGGGAGGGGAGGGCTAAAGAAGGCAGAGGTTTTTTTTTTTTTTTTTGAGAGGTTTTTGCTATAGGGTGTGTGCACTCGCCAGAAAGACAGAGAGAGAGAGACAGAAAGTGAGAAATCATCCCCTAGGGGGGATGGCCACGCCGCAATCCCTTCTCCTCCATTCTCCTCTCGGGATCTTGGGCATGCATGCACACGCGCCCGGCGTGAGTTGAAGCCATGGGATCCAGGACTCGAACAGCGGTCCAGCAACATAGCCATTACGCTAACTGCTGGTCCTGCAGAGTGTTTTTTTTGTTTTGGTTTTTGTTTTTTAAATGCTATAACATTAGCAGTAGTATGCATGGCCTTACAAATTTACCAAATGCCTTAGCATTGCACACTTTCAATAGGTAAGTTATTGGGTTGTTGGCGAAGTCATGACTTTTCTCGCAGTCTTTTTTCTATGTAAAAATGAGTCATGACTGGACCAGCAGTTAGCGTAGTGGCTATGTCGCTGAACTCCCACGTAGTCGACTGCGGTTTGCGTCCAGGACCCGGTGGCATAAAACTCACGCCGTGTGCGTGTGCATGCATGTGTGCCCAAGATCTCGAGAGGAGAACGGAGGAGAAGGGATTGCGGCGTGGCCACACCCCCTGAGGGGTGATTTCTCGCTTTCTGTCTCTCTGTGGTGACTTCTCGCTTTCTGTCTCTCTGTCTCTCTGTCTGGCGAGTACACGCGCCCTATCGCAAAAACACCTCTCCAAAAAAAAAATTGAGTCGTGACTTTTTTGACAACCCTATATATGGCGTGTGCGTTCTATCCCGGTAAGACTGTGTGAAAAATAGCACACTAGGAGCCGGCTGGTGGGATGGTAGTTAAGGCAGCTGACTCCCACGTGGCCAACTGCATGGTTCAAGTCCGGGACTCTGTGGCTTGAGAAACTCACAAGGCGTGTGTTCAAGCATGTCCCAAATCCCTGGAGAAAAGAGACAGGGAGAAGGCACCACGGTGTGGCCATTCCCCACGAGGGGCGCCTTCTCCCTTTTTCTCTTTCTCTGCTGAGTGCACACCCCTTCTGGCAAAATTTAAAAAAAAAAAAAAAGAAAGAAAATAGCGTGCTAGGAAACAAAACCAGGATATCCCAGAATGGAGGCCTCCATTTTTTTTTTTGGAACTCTGCACAGAAGCAAGAGAAGAAGGCTGCGAAGTTACAAAAGCTGTCCGCATCAACCCTGGCCCTACAGTCAGGGAAACAGAACTACAAATAAAAGAGCAACAGAAAACCACCAGGACCAAGGTCAAATTCCCTGAGTCACTGGTAGAAAAAAAAATTAAGGAACAGAAGGACATCTCTCAACAAGGAAAGAACTAGAAAGACACACCAAAAAAAAAAAAAAAAAAGATCAAAACTGTCGCATTTTGTAAGAGAACTTCAAAAAGTTCAATGGCAAATGGAGGCAAAGTCAGTTTATTTTGGCACAAAAAAACCTTTTTTTTTTTTTTTCAATTTAAAAAGGCTTTTACCATAAGGGGTACGTGCTTGCCAGAGAGATAGAGAGAAAGTGGGAAAGCACTCCCCAGAGGGGCTAGCCACACTACAATCCGTCCTCCCTTCTCCTCTTGGGATTCTGGATATACATATGTAAGTGCCTGGCATGGGTTTCAAGTCACTGGGTCTGGGTCTCGAACCACAGTCGGCCAGTGTCTTAACCATTATGCTTCTTGCTGGCCTCCGTAGTACTTTCTATTTTTAACAGAATTTTGCTATACGGCATGTGCACTCACTGGTTAGACAGAGAGACAGAGACAGAAAGCGAGAAATCATCCCCCGGCGGGGATGGCCACGCCGCAATCCCTTCTCCTCCATTCTCCTCTCGGGATCTTGGGCACGCACGCACACGCGTCCGGTGTGAGTTTAAGCCACCAGGTCCGGGACTCGAACTGCGGTGAGAGTCCAGCGACATAGCCATTAGGCCAACTGCTGGTCCCACCATGTCGTATTTTTTTAAAGAATTATTTTATTTACCTTTACTTATTTTAATTGAACAGAGAGGGACAGAGAGAAAGAAAGAGAGGGAAAGTGAGAAAGCAAGCTGCCAGGGCCAGGACGTGAACCGCAGATGGCCATGTGGGAGTCCAGTGCCCTTAACCATCATGCCACCTGCCGGCCCTCCCCACCTCGTATTTTAAAGCAAGCTAAGAACCAAAGAAACAGTAGAGGACATTTTTGAAAACAAGATAAGAAAGGGTTAGAAAGGAAAGAAAAAGAATTGAGAAGGGAAGACTAGAAGCAGCACAGAATGAATGCACACAATAAAAAATGTCTTTAAGAGATACAGGCTGGGACCAGCAGGTGGCATGGTGGTTAAGGCACTGGACACTCCCACATGGCCAACCATGGTTTGAGTCCTGGATCTGGTGGCTTGTCTTTCTCACTTTCTCTCTCTCTCTGTGTCTCTCTGGTCAAATGAAAATAAATTAATGAATAAATAAAATTAAATCTTTTTTTTAAAAAAGGCAAGAGATACAGAAGGCGAACAAGAAAACTTTTATCATTAAAAAGAAGAAATGAAAAGAATTCAAGAGCAAGAGGCGCAAACTGAGGAAGGGCCGACATTGTGTCGGGGCCCTGTGCGCCTGCAGCTGGAATTCCGATTCGCGTGAGCAGTTTCTACAGGACGCGGTCACTCCCACATCCCAGAGGTCCCTGCAGCCAGCCTCCCTGGGCGCCGTGAGGCTGGGGGCCAGAGGTGGCCCCCACAGGGGCACAGCCCACGGCCACACCCACTACCTGGAGAGGCTGTCCAGCGCCTGGATGAAGTGATCGGTCCCTGAGCCATCCTCGGGGTTCTCCATCAGAGACAAGGTGGCAAAGACCACGTCGCTGGCCAGGAACTTATGCTTGAATCCGAAATGAATGCTGAACGTCTGCACACGCATATCCTTCATCCTGTCGTGGGGAGATGCCACGCGGCGGTCACCTCAAGTCAAGGGCAAGCCCTCATGACCAGGTCACCCCAGCAGACGCACTGAGGTCCCTGGCAGACCCTGCTAATGCTCTCGGCACGAACATCCAGCTCACAGGATGACGCGGGTCGGGACGCCCAAATCAGCCCTGCACCGGGATGGCTGAGAGCTCCGTCTATACCACTCAGCCGGCCTGGGGCACTGCAGCACGTAGCTCCGGCCTCCGGGTGCGTGTAAGGCCTTCTCGCACACCCAGCACACCAGCTAGAGAAGCCAGGTAGGTGGAGGATGTCCAGAGGTGCCCGAGGACCTGGCCAGAGCTCCCCTGCCTCAAAAGTCCAGGAATGGTTGGGACCAGCAGTTAGCATAATGGCTATGTCACTGAACTCCCATATAGTTGACCACGGTTCAAGTCCCGGACCCGGTGGTTTAAACTCACGCCGGGCGCGTGTGCGTGTGTGCCCAAGATCCCAAGGGGAGAATGGAGGAGAAGGGACTGCGGTGTGGCCATCCCCCCTGGGGGGTGATTTCTTGCTTTCTGTCTCTCTGTCTCTCTCTGTCTGTCTGGCGAGCGCACGTGCCCTATAGCAAAAACCTCTCAAAAAAAAAAAAAAAAAAAACAACTCCAGGAACGCCCAGACTCAGGTCATGCTCATTTGTACATTCTTTGGTTTCTGGGTTTTTGGCTGGTTGGTTTGTGTGTTTGGTACTACTTTCAGAATATGATTAAAGCAGAAGCCTAAGCTTTAAAGAAACTTCATCTCCAAACCTGTGTGCTTACCCGAATTTACTCGCAGACTCGTCAATCATTTCCCGCAAATTTTCCTTCAAAGAGATGTCCATGGACTGAAACTTCTGCTTCACCTGTTTCAGGGGGAGACTGGGAAAGCAAGCGGAGTGGCCTGAGGGAGACCGCCAGGACTGCAGGCCATAAACGAAGGCAGATGGGGGTGCCCAGCCCCTGCCCTCAGGCAGTATCTGGGACCTCCAGGGGAGAGATTCGCAGTAGAGCAGGCAGCAGCGGCATTTTACAGCATCAGCCACGCCAGAGCGGAGAGGGACAGCGTTGGGGGGCTGCAGCTGAGGCGGTCACTCACCCCATGTCCGCGAGGAACTCCTGCAGCTGCTTCTTCCCGCGCACGGACCAGAGCTTGAACCTGGCAGCGGTGTAGCTGGTGTAGCACAGGCTGTCGTGCAGGGACCAGTGCTGGTACAGGGCCAGGCGCAGGCTGGGCTGCGGTCAAGGAGCAAGCGTGCTCTCTGCGGCCCACCAGGACCCGCGGCGGCCACCACCCTGCAGCAGACGCCCAGCCCTTCCTGGCTGGGGCCCGGCTAGCCAAGGGTGACCTGGAGCTCTCTGCTCCGCCTGAATCATCCAGCGAGCCTGTGGGCGGTGGGCACACCCCATTGTCCCACTGACAGAGGTTGTGCGGAGCCTGGGGACCGCGGCCACAGAGAGCAGTCACGACCGCACAGGACGGAGGCCAAGCGTGGACGGCTTTGCTGACATCCTGCCGTGTCCCCTCCTGTCCACTGAGCCCAGCTCTCCCCACCACTCTCCCAAGAGCCTGCGGCAGGGACCCCAGCCCCAAAGGTCCCTACCCTCAGCCTTCTTAGATCACCCACCCGTGGTACGAGCTCACCTCTCCCCTGCAGGAGGTGAGGCTGGCCCTGCCTGTCTCCTTTGGTGACAACGCCCCCTGCCACCACTCCTCTGGACACTTGGCTACAGGCTGTCCTAAAGGCTGCCCCCTCTTGACTCGTGGGCCTTGGTCTTAAGTCCTGGTCCACCCCACCTGCACTCCAGCAGCGTCCCTGAGGCTTCTGGTCAACTTACCATGGCTCTACCCACCTGCTCACACCCACCTGCAGCCTGGCCCAAGACTATCCTGGCCCCTCACCCCAACACACCTCTGTGTGGCAGCCAAAGGGTGATTTTTTTTTTAAAGGTTTTTCCCATAGGGTATGTGTGCTCACCAGAAAGAGAGACAGAGAGATGGTGAAAGAGAAAGTGAGAAATCGCCCCAGGGGTGACTTTCTAGTTGCCAGGTCCGGGACTTGAACTGTGGCCAGCCATGTGAGGGTCCAGTCCCTTAACTGCCACGCCACCTGCTGGCCCCACCCAAGGACCTTTTAAAATCCTGAGCCTCCGCTGCCCTCCGCCCTGGAGGCCACCTGCTCTGGCCTCTCTAACCACAGGGCCCCACCCCATCCCTGCCACCCCTTGCAGCGTGGCTGCGGCCCGGGCTGCTCTTCCTCCCAGGGAGCCTGGCAGGGTCTCCTCGCTCCTGGGTGCTCCATCAGCGCCCCTTGGCCCCTCACAGAAACGTTGCCATTGGGTCCAGGACTTGAATCATGGTCGACTATATGGGAGTCTAGCAACACAGCCATTAGTTTAACTGCTGGTCCCGAGAGGGCGATGTTTCTAAGCCCAGCTCTTGGCACGTAGGAGCCAAGGCCACACGGATGAGCCAGGGCAGCACGCCACAGCCCCTCCTCTGACATGTCCCGTCCACCCGCTGCCCCCTGTACCCCCACAGGGCAGCTGCAGGCACACGCCGGGGGGAGCATGTCTTCCACAGGGGCAGTGGGCTGGGGCCCGAGGAGGGTGACCAGGCTCATAGCACCCGGCGGGCAAATCCTCGGAGCAGGGGCGCCGCCTGCACCACCGGCCTGGGCCAAGGATACTCGTACTCGAAGGAGATCCGCGTGCAGTCCACGGAGAGCGTGTTGTCCTCGTCCCCGTGCCGGTGGTTGTGCCGGGATACATGGCGCTGCAGCACCCCGACGTCGGTCACGTACTTCATCCTGGGAAGCAAGCGCCACAGGCTGGGCCGGATCCCCACCCTCCAGCGGCAGCCTGGCCTCTGCTCCTCCCACGCCCACTGCGGCTGTCCCCGGACGAAGCCCAAGGAAGCTTCAGCACCCCACACGGGAACCAAGTTCAGCGGTGGCTGGAGCTGGGAGGGGCTGGCTGCGGCCTTGGCCACCCCGAGTCCTTGGCCATCCGATGCTCCTGACTGGGCACTGCCCTCCGGTCCACGAAGACAAAGTGGCCAAACCTGGTAAGTGACAGGACCCCGCACCAAAGGGACTTCCCACTCGGCCTCGGCTTCCTGACTCCCTGCATGGGAGGTGCTATCCGCATGGTGGAAGCAGGCAGATCTCACTCCATGTCCCCAAGGGCCACCAACCAGGATGGTGAGAGCAGGGTCCCCCAAGAGGGACTGCCCCAGGCTATGCAGTGCCAGACACTGTGTGCACTACTGTCCCCAAGTCCACGCCCTGTGTTCCCCGTGACAGAGAAGGGCATTGAGCCTGCAAGATGGCATGTCCACACAGTGACCACACGGAGCTCGGGCCCCTGCTCCCTGGGCCACACTGCAGGACCTGGATGGGGTGAGGGACACCTGCGCGGCCCCCTTGGGAGAGGGTTAGCCTCTCAGGGCCAGCCTATCTAGTCTCTGAGAGGTCCTTCTCAAGGCCGTGAGGAGGGTGGGCCTCCTGGTGAGGGAGGGAGAATGAGAAAAGATTGAGGTCCTGCCTGCTCCCCACCATCTACGTTCTGGGGCAGCCTTTCAGCTCAGTGGCAGGTCTAATGTTTAGAGGGCTCCCCTCTAAAAAAATGGGGGCAAAGTCTGCTTCATACCAGCCTGAATTCACATCCTCTGAAGCCTGCTCCTTGTCTTTGAAAGCAAACCCTCCCCCCCACCCAGGACCAGGAGTTGGCATCATGGTTATGTCGCTGGACTCCCTTGTAGTCGACCGCGGTTCGAGTCCTGGACCTGGTGGCTTAAAACTCATGCCAGGCACGTGTGCGCGTATGCCCAAGATCCCCAGAGGAGAATGGAGGAGAAGGGATTGCGGTGTGGCCATCCTCCCCAGGGGGGGTGATTTCTCGCTTTCTATCTCTCTGTCTCTCTCTGTCTTTCTGGCAAGTGCACCCACCCTATATATAGCAAAGACCTCTCAAAAAATAAAAATAAAAAATAAAAGCAACCCCTCCCTGGCGGGACTCCCAGGGCTGTTGCTAACGCCCCTACCCCACGGTGCAGGACCAGCCATATGGCTTTCTTCCTGGTGGCAGCACTGAGCTGAGGCCGGGGGTGTGGATGTGGGTGAGAAGTCTGCCTCACGGGCTGCCCGGCCCTGCCAGGAGCCCGACTGCCTGCCTCTGAGGCTGCGCTGCCCAGCCCTGCCCAGCCCTGCCAGGCCCTGCCAGAAGCCCTGGGAAGGAAGCGAGGAGGTGGAGCTCCCTTCTCCCGCCACTGGCTCCACCTGGTGGACGCAGAGGCCACAGGAGCAGGGGAGCCCAGCCAGAGGTCCTGGTCCTAAGCCCTTCCCAGGTGACAAAGGCCAGCCAGCCCCTCCAATCCATAGGACCCTAGACTAGGCAGGGCCGCCCACCTCCCCACTGTAGCTCGGGACCCTGGCGTGGGTACAGCGAGCGGGCCCGGGAAAGCCAGGGGGGCCGTCCTTACTGAGTGATCTTGTCTTGCACCCACTGGTCCGTCAGTCCGATGATGGCCCACCTGGAAGGAGAGAAGGCAATGGAGTCAGCCTGCAGTCTGCCCGGGCTCGGCGGGGCCGTCAGCGTGTGAGGCCAGAGGGTGAGCCCGGTCAGCCCGAGCCCCGACAGGACAGACACACCCGGAAACGTCCTGCCAGCGTGGTCAGACCCCAGCCCACCCTGGACAGGAGGCCGCCCACCTAAGAGGAGGTTAGAGAAGGCGCTGGGGGGCTCAGCAGGGTGTGCCGCCGAGGGAGGAAATCTCTCAGGACAGGGACAGCAGGGGCGACAGGAGGCAGCCCTCTTGCCCACATCCACACCCCCGGCCGACTCAGCACTGCCAGGAAGCAGTGGAGACCTGTCTGTGTCTGGGCCAGCGGCTCCAGTGCTGCTCCCCTGCCCTGCACCGCTCCGGACCCCTGCCCCAAGGCCCTGGCCACATCCACCTCGACTGGTCCTGCAGTGTACAGAGGGGGGATGTGGGAACCAGATGCAGGCACAGTGATAAAGCACGAGGCAATCACACATAGGAAGGTTCCCGGTTCAAGTCTAGAGACCTCCCCGAGTACACACTAGATCTGGGGCTGGCTAAGGCGGGGTGAGGGGGGCGGACTGCAGCATCGGGACCCTGTCGGGAAGCTGTCTCTCTCTCTCTCTGTCTCATGGAATAAGTGAATACATTTAAAAATAAATAAATTAAAGAAAGCTGGCAAGGTTGTGGAGTACGTTTTTAGGCCTGGCAAGAACCTTCAAAGTCCCCATTGCCAGGCTTGACTATGGAGGAGACCCTGCTGGGGCCCGGCCAGCTGATGGCAAATGCCACCTGACCCTGGTGTCCCAGTCACACGGAGGGTCCACTGGTGTCCAGGAGCAGTTCAGTTCATGGCCAAGAACAACAGAGGCTGCTCCGTGCTGAGCGAGACAGGGGAGCTGTGGGAGACCCTCTAAAGAGGTGCCAGGGCACCCGAACCCCCGTCTCCCAGGACACTATGCCTCTGAGGGGCCTCCAGAAAATGCCAGGCTGGGCATCTCCCTGATGGACCCCGCCTCATGCCAACGCCCCCCACATCTGCATTTTCTAGTCTGTTATTTTATATTTGTCCTGAGGCTGTTTCTGGGGTTCATTTTCCTTTTTTTTTTTTTTTTCCTAGATAGGGCCTTGCTGTGTTGTGATCCCACTCTGTCCCCTGAGCAGCTGGGATGGCACGCACCTGCCACCACGCCCGGCTCCTTCAGACAAGGTCTCGCTCTCACAATCCTCTGGCCTCAGCCACCCAGGTCTCGGATTACAGGTGCTGGCCCCGCCTGTAGGGTGGGCTGGGACTCAAACCCGGGCCTCCCATGCAGCCTCGGCCTGCCAAGTACCAGCAACAACCAGCACAAGCTACTGCATCAGGGCCTGGTGACCGCTCATCTGAAAGGCTTGTAGCGGGAGAGCTGAGGGCCGACTGCAGCAGCAGGTGACCACTAAAGGCACCTGCTCCGGACACTGACGTGGCAGTCACGCGCCGTGTCACCACTCTGGGGATCCACCTGACCTCACTCGGGACACTTGACACAAGACCCTGACCAGGCCCTGAGCCCTGGGGATTATCATGCCAAGGCCGAGGAGGAATATGAGGCTGGACCAAGACCTGGCCAGGGCAGCGGTGGGCACACAGCCTGGCAACAGTTCACGGTCCAGGGATGAGAGCCAAGGACTGGCCAAGGCCCACCAGGAAGACAGAGCACCCGGGCCTAATAGTAGCCTGGTCCTCGGCCCCAGTCCTAAGACCCTGATTCTGCATGGAACTGGAAGAGGCCTCGGCAGACGGCCATCCCACCAAGCAGAAAACAGAACCCCCAGCAGAGCACGGAGGTGAAGCCGGGCCAGACCGGCGCTCTCCTCCCTCGGACTCCGAGGTACAGGGCCCCACGGGGAAGGGTCTGGGCTCCGTCCCATGCGCGTGGGGCACATGTGCCTGCGCTCTGAGCTGGTTGAGGTCAGGCCCGACAGTGTGGAGACCTCGTCGGGGTGCCTGTCTCTGTCTCTCTCATGAAAGGAACACTGAGACACGCTTGCGGACTTTGTTTCTAGATCAACCCGAGTGCATGGTGAGTGACCAGGGCCTCCTCACCTGTGCCATGAGCCCCGCCTGCAGCCGGCTCAGGTGGGACGGCTCTTCCTGTTTCAGATTTCGCCACGAGCCACGGCTGCAGGGACACCCAGCAAGAGATGCCCCACCCGACCCTCTGTCTTGCCACGCAATTTCCCGAGCACAGGCAGAGCGAGGGAGTGGGAAGGGTAGAGCCGGAGCCGCACGGTGGAACCCTCCTGCCCTCGGCACCCTCCAACGCTGCACACCCCCCCGGGTTTGCGGGAAGCCCTCGAGTTCACAGAGAAAGACCAGAGTCATCCCCTTCCTGGGAGGGACAAGGGAGGTGCCCGCAGGCTCCCTGTGGAGGGAGGACAGGCCTGGGCTCTTGGGTGCTGACCTGGGTGGGCAGCAAGGCTCCCGAGAGGGAGAGGGACGCCACGGGAGCCACGTACCACAGCATGTCGTTCAGGTCCTTGGACATGGTCCACGCCAGGTCGAACATCACCATGGCTGACTACGAGAAGACAGAGAGGCCTGGGTTGACGCGGCTGCACGAGAGGGATGTGAACCGGTGCCACACCATGCTGCCAGGCCAAAGCTGAGCTGCTGTGGGCCGGGACCGAGCCCCGCAGAGGGAGGCCTGCCCAGCCAGGGCACACGGGTGATTCCAGAGGTGGGGAGTGAGCACAG